CAGTTGGACCTAGGCCAGAAGATCATCCCTCCAGAACACGAGACCCCCCGCCAGCCACAACACAGACCATCCAAGGGTACCCTTCTCAGGGTGCACAAGAACATCCGACAAACACGAAGAACAGTAGGGTACCCTCCCCGAACCGAACTCGATTTTAATAACTCGGTCCGACCGTACCGCTGATTCTTCGTCGATGCTTCTCCACTTGAGCCACACCCCCCGGTGCTCACAGCGCTCGAGGGCGGGAGCATGCCGCGTGTCACTGTGCCGCCGCGTGCGGGCGGTGGTGACGGGGCCCGCGCTGTGAACAGACCGCGACGTCCTTGGAATCCTGGGGGCGCGTCGCCCCCCCCCCTCCGCTGGGGCCCTATAGGGGGAGGAGGAGGAGGAGGAGGAGGAGGAGGAGGAGGAGGAGGAGGAGGAGGAGGAGGAGGAGGAGGAGGAGGAGGAGGAGGAGGAGAATGAGAACGACAATGACTACATGACTTAGTCTTACTGATCCCTCTACTGGTGCGAATTACACAGGGGGCCTCTCTTGAGCTTCTCCTGAGCGCTTAGAGCCTTGGGCCACAACCCCTTCGAGATCCTCTCCAAGTACTCGGAACGGTGGCCAGGAATTAAACGCGTGCAGATCTTGCCCAAATCTCTGAGCTGCTGGTCAGCATAGCAACCACATCTGATACAGTACCACAAACGCAGATCGCTATGTAACTGCATCCTATGTGTGTCATGCACCCACCCTCCTGCGATATGTAGGTGGGCTCCCGAGGGTTTACGGAAGATCAGACCATCATGATTCTCTGGTGTGAAACATGGGGACTTCCTCCAGGCGATTTGACAATTCTTGGCGGCAGAGTCCAAACAAACCGTGCAACGCCTCCCACTATCGTCCAGACAGTGGGAGGAGGAACACACGGGCAGAGAACCAGCAGACGGAGGGCGGATGGTTTGAGAGACAGCAGCTCTCTGGGTCCGAGGCTCTTTTTCATCCGCTCCCATGGCGTCGAGAGTGGCTCGAATAATCCTCAACCTCTCTTGGAACGCCCGCTTCTCATGTAGATCCACCTGTTGTCTGACAGCCTGTGGGAGCCGAACGCGTTCCGCAGTCTGGCTAGCGCCGAGGTCCACGACAATGTTTCCCGTGATCATCCAGCGTTGGCGGGGTTCTTCACGACCCCTCCCTCATCCCGATGAGAGTGGATAGAGAGCACGAAAATCTCCTCGGGCGGCCTATCTCTCAGCAGCATCCCCAGAGCAGCCCAAAGATCGCCATCGTCGCCTCCAGGGTGCTCCCAGCGCCTACTGTGCCACCCACGGACAACGGGCTGACAGTCAGCAACATACACCACGCTGCCTCGCGAGGCCCAGACAGCCAGAACGAGGGCCCGAAGTTCCCCTCGAAGAACGGATTGCTTGGGCCCGACCAGCGGCCCAGACAGGGGTCCCTGCGAGGCATACATGGGGCTCCAGGCTGTGGAAGGAACACATAGCAAGCCCAACCCTTCTAAACTTAGAACGAGCAGACTCAGGTCCTCCACTAGCGTCCCCGAAGAGCAGTAGAGGGGCTTGAGGAGTCCGTTCGCCAAGACAATCAGGCCCCAGGTCGCTGTTGAGGCCCGTGAAGACCCACTCCTCCTCCCCCTGCGGCGGCGGCACCTCGACCCAGGCGGACGGCAATAAACCCCTCGGCCAGAAAGCTGGCTCCATGTCCGCCTGAGCCTCAGCCTGAGGCAGGAGTTCACATGTCCGCTCATATATGCTGTGTCCTGTGATGCTCGTGGAACTCCAAATCCAATGTTTGGCGGTTTTCCTCCTGGCAACCGCATCTCGGGCAGAGGATGGGGCCATTGTAGCCTTTGACCTCTGCCTTGCGCCCCGCTCGGGGCCAGGCCCTGCCAATCGCGCAACAAAGCAACGTCTCAGACAGACGATGACCGATGACTGGCGTCTCATGCAGGTGCTTTTATAGCAAACGATATGAACCAGCATCGGTACCACCTTCGAGCCCTGCGCCGTCACAATGAAGACTAGCCTGGGCCCACATGCGCCTCTTGATGATGTCCTCAAAGTCGCCAAGGAAGGCCCGATGGGAGCCGAGGGCTGCAACTCCCTGGTACATGGGATCATCGAAACGCCAACTATCTCCTGCATGAGGGTGACCCTGCGGGATGACCCACGCCGTGGCTTCGGGGACTGCCCACCCTGTCTCGATCAGGTACAGGATGACCGCCGTCATGGGTCCTCGCACCCAGCGCGACCTCTGAGACCTTGGCTGGGCGAGCAGCTGCTGCGAAGCCTTGGCCCAAACTCGACGGACTCCGCCTCGCAGATCAGGCCGGTCTCGCCACGCAGACAACCGCATATCCATGCACATCACTGGTAATCGCGCACCTGGATCCTGGCCAGGCGCTCGCAGCTCCAATGGCGTCGTCAGGCGCCTCCCCTGTGTCGGAGCCGCACATGCTAGCCCTAGGCGTCGCATCGCCTGGGCCAGTCTCTG